TATAATTAACTAACTTATCTAACTTCCTTAATATAATCAAATTAATTAAATAGTATTATATTAAAGATCAGAGGGGTATATTGGTGATTAACATGCGTAGAAAATATGTTAGAGAAGTATATTTCTACGCATATGATGACAATGGTTTTTTTTTTTTTGGGCCAGCCATATGATGAAAATTCATCATGTATGGTTTTTGCGTAACGTAAAATCTATTAAGGAGTGTTTAGGTAAAAATCAAATCATTATTTGAAAAAATAGTTTATAAAGAAAAAGTTACTTTCAGAATGATTTTAGAAGAATAGATTTTATGAAAAAAATGATTTTGATAAGATAAGAATGTTTGAATGGTCATTATTATTATCGCTTTTTTTATATTCTAAAAAAGACATAAGTTAATGTGTAATTACATAAAGAACTAATTTTAATTTATATTTTTATTTTAAAAAGTTGAATAGACATATGTAAGACCTATTTTTTTTTACTACTTCTAATTCTTAATATAAAAGTTAGATAATTAATTTGTAGATATTAAGAAAATTATTTAATATAGTTATTTGTAATAAATACTTGTTATATTTTTTAAAATATTCTTTTTAAATATGTGCATTGAAACTACCATTTGATATTAAACATTTTATCATGTGTAATTACTATGAGAACTACTTTAAAAATATATATAAATATAAGAAGAAAAATGAATTGAGATATTATATTTAAGACCAAATTAAATCTTCAGCTAACTTTCATGTTAAGAACTGAAAGTAACATTTATATAATTAATTAATAATTAATATTATATTTGGTCCTAATTATAAGACTTTGTTTGTAATTTATATATTTTTTTAATCTTTTTTCCATTTATTACAAGGTCATAGTTGGGAACAACAGTGTCTTTCTCTTTTCTAACCTACTTATTATTTTTAACTAATTTTAAATGATAATTTTATTGTAAATTAGTATATTTAAATCTTATAATATAATAACGAGGGAGGAGTTTTTCTTTTTTTTTTTGCCTGATGCGTATCTCTTTCTGTTTTGTTTTCCAAGGACAAATGAATGAATTGTATGTCCCCATGATCACAGAAACGTTTCAGATTGTTTTTTTTTTTTAAAAAAAAATCGAATCGAATTAATTGAACCAAATTTTCGCATAACGGAAACAATGATAATACTGATAATTTATTTATTACCCCACGCTCTTTTGTCATAAGCAAAACGCCAACGCCTTCATCAAGCAGCCACGGAAAGCCACCAAGCGAGCTAGCAAACGAGCGATGTGAGAGAGAGAGAGAGAGAGAGAGAGAGAGAGAGAGAGAGTGAAGGCGAGCTGTATCTGTAACTGTCTCCATGGCTTGTTTCTTCTCTCAGATCTTCCGAAATCCCTAGCTATTACTTCCTTCAACATTCTTCTTCATCTTCTCACTATTTGCATCATCTCCCTTTACATGTAAAATTTGTTCGATTTTCTTCAGTTCACCAATCTTTTCCCCCCTTGTTTGTTTCCTGAGGAAATCTGGATTTCGGCGTTGTGTGTCTGGTTTTGTCCATTTTTGGAGCCTTTGGTGCTATTGGTTTGGGTTTTGGCGGGTTCTCTGGGAAAATTTTTGGAGATTGATCTGGTTTCTGCTTCACCTTTTGGCGCTTTTAGTTAATTGGATTGTCGAGGAATGGTTTTCTGAGGGATTGGTAACTTTTGGGTTTAGTAGTTTATGATGCGGTTGTAGTTTATTGAAGTATAGTAGGATATGGATGATAGAGGTGGCTCATTCGTTGCTGTCAGGAGGATTTCGCAAACTCTTGAGCGCGGCAACACCTGCCAGTCAGCTTCCGGTAAATGTATTAAATTTAAATTTCATACTGTTTATCCTTTTTCTGTATTTTTGCAATCCTCTCCCACCCTCCTTCCTCTGGAGTTTTCATTTCTGGTAAACGCATTATATTTCATCACAGTTCATCGTTTTCTGTATATTTTGCGACTCTCCCTGAAGTGTTGTTTTCAGTCATTTCGTGTTGACAATGGTCTTAATAATGCATTTATCTCTACCTCGCAATTTTATGAAGTACCGATCTCTGAATCGAGATCGAGTCAAGTATGAGAAGCTTGATCATTGTGCAAGTTAAATTTGCATGATGCTTGCTGGTATTTCAAATTGCATCGGTGGGTAATTTCATATTGCTGTTTTTTTTTTCCTTTTTAGTATGGATTTTTTTGGTTTATACTTTTATGTATATTTAAATATTTTTGGCAAAATACATCTTGCGCGATTTTGGGGGGCAAAAAAGTCTTGCGCGATTGACAAAAGCGCATTCGAGGCACCTACACCCTTTTACTTCACTCTGACCTTTGCTTTCTGACCGGTACATGCGCCCTCGTTCGGTTTGATTGAATAGATTCAAACTATTGATCGAGTTTTTTTCGCTTTTATTTTTTCCTTCTTTCTGGTGAATATTCCATCCTTTTGAGCACAAGAGCTCTTTTCTATGCTTAATTTATAAATGCTATCTATTAAATGGTTATCTCTTGATCTAACTTTATGTCGCGCACCTATACAGCCAACGCCTCACTGTACATATATTTTGACTTCTGCAAATCTATAATATGAAGCTGGGAGATATATATATTTTATGAGCGAAGCCGGGATAATTTATTGCAATGCTAGTCTTATCATAAAATATGAAGAGGATACTAATATAAAAATTTTATCAAGCCACACTATTCATGAGCCATGAAGAACGGGGATCATTTTTTCGATCCTGTGCCGTGCATGGAACCCACACTAGTTATAAATAAAGTGAGGTGCTGATCTTTTAATCCTCTCTGGTTCTGCTTGAAATTTTTTAAAAAAATATTCATTATGTTTTGGCAAAAGCGCTGCTTTTTCTGTTGCGTTGGTTCTCAGTTTTTGGATCATGTGTCTCTCCCTTTGAGGGTTGCTGGGGCCTGTGCAGTGCTTCGAACCCATAGTAATTGTGAATAAAGTGAGACGTTGGTCTTTTTATCTCTGTTAAGCTGCTTGAAATTTAAATTTATTATGTTTTTGGAAAGAAGTGCTGCTTTATCGGATGCTTTGCTTTGGTTCAAAGTTTTTGGATCATGCCAATGGCATTGTAGCCTAGTGGTATCAATGCTTCCTATCTAGAGAGGTCATAGATTCAATCCCGCTTGTAACCTTAGGCTGTTAGTGCTTGCCCTTTTAATTAAAAAAGAAGTTTTTGACCATGTATATCTCTTCATTTGAGGTTGTCTGTGCATGCAAATCAACGGTAGCACCCAGATTTTACCTTTGTTTGCACTTTGCAGTAATGAGAATCATAGGCCTAATGCTGAATTTGTTGAAAGATTATTCTTAGTTTAAGTAATTTGCTGGGGCTTGAAAGCCTTGAGGGGTAAAAGGGATAGGAGACATATGACACATTAATGGCAGGCTACTTTAGGTAATGTACTTAATTTATTATCAACTTATCAATTTATTTTAATTTTTTCTCTTTACTTTTTTTTTTTTTTATCATTTGCGAGGATTTAATGTCAAACTCTATGCTTTTCCATTTGGTTCTTACCATCCGATTACTCTCACTAGAGTTGACATGTAATATTTTTAGTCAAATGCTATACGTGCATTAGGCAACTTGTAATCTTCCTGATTTCCTTGAAAACATGTAATATGTGCCTACTTTTAGAATTGACATGAAAGTCAAAGTGTACTTTCTGTGGCATATACTGCTCAACCATCAGTACCATTAACTTCTTAATATCCTCTCCATAATGTCTTTTGTAGTTGGGCCTGAAATGATAGTTTGTCATCAGGTTATATCCTTTTTCCTTTTGCCTGAAATCAAAAAGTTTTCTATATGCTGCTGTAGTCTAAGAAGCTTAATGGATCCGATTTCATTTTACTAAGTAGTCTAAGCCAATGAACCATCATATAGTTAGAATTATATATTACTTTTTAGAACACTTAGTATTTCCTTGTTGCCATAAACTTATGGACATTTTATTTGTTTACAGCCGAGGCTGTGGCAGGATCAACAGCATGGCTTGGAAGAGGATTATCTTGTGTTTGCGCACAGAGGAGAGATAGTGATGCTCGTCCCTCTTTTGATTTAACCCCATCACAGGTAATAATCTTGTTATTTTGAACACTGATGAAATAGTTGAAGAAGCAATTTTGTAATTATGCTGTAGGAAGTTTCAGCAAATTGAATTATGTATAAGAACATGTGATATTTAGTGATCAAATTTTAAGGTTTTCTGCTGCTGCAAAATTTCACTTGAGTCCAGATTGATTGTAATATTTTTATTGGAGTACAGGTTATCAGTATTCTTTTGGAAAGATAATGATATTCAGAGTCAAGTTATTCAATCTGTTCTATGAATGATGGCCCTGCCTTTTGTTCTTTGGTCTTGTATAAATAGGACAGTATATAGTAGATCCATCAAGGTCAATAAATAATGTTACACAAATGACCTATCTTCCCTTGCCTCCAAGTGAATGTTGCAGTTACAATGTTTCTTCATTGAAAATTGAGGGCAATACACTGTTTAGTCAGTCCATCTCTTTGATTTGTTCTTTCTCGAACAAAAAATTTCTGCTTCTTTTGTTTGGTTCAGTCTTGGTGTGTAAAAGATATCTTGCCTTTAGGTGGTTATATAAAAGGAAAATTGAAGAACAAGTTGTATTAAACTGTTTCTTAGTCAAAATTAATTTTTCATGGCTTGTGGCTTTCTTGTTCCCTGGTGGAACTCATAGGTGTCATGACGCCTATGATTCGCATGATTGGGTCTGTTCTATTAATTTTTCATGCCTTTTGTTGTGTTCATTTTAGAATAGAAGTAATATCTCTAGTTTTGACAGCCTTGTTTTATTAAACATCATAATTTGTAACTTGGCCACAACAAATCATTGTATTGTTGAACTTGGACTCTCAGGAGGAATGCTTGCAGAGGCTACAGAACCGTATAGATGTTCCTTATGATAGCTCTGTTCTTGAGCACCAGGTATCTGATTTGTTAATAATATCAAGTCTTTGTAAATGATGTTGCAATAACTATTAATTGTGTTGAAGAATTCATCTTTATGTGCCCATGGCTTTATGTGTTGTCTATTCCTTAGTACATGGGCAATATGATAGGCTTTATATGTTGTCTATTCCTTATTACACGGGCAATATGATATTCTTAGACTCTGGTTTGCATGTGGTAATTTTGCTTTATTTTAGGAGGCTTTAAGGGCCTTGTGGAATATTGCCTTTCCTGAAGAAGAACTTCATGGCTTGATATCTGAGCAATGGAAGGAGATGGGTTGGCAAGGAAAGGATCCTTCAACAGACTTTAGGTGGGTATTTTGTTTTCTAACTTCCTGATCGTGTCAGCTATCTAACTACATCTTATTTTTAATGATTTATTATTTGGTTTATTTTTCAGGGGCGGTGGGTATATATCTTTGGAGAATTTGCTATTTTTTGCCAGGAATTTCCCAGTATGGTCTCCTTTTCTGTTTTCTCTTTTCTTTTTTTTTTTATTATTATTATTATTTTGAATTTATGCTTTGAGGAATGTTTAAGAGGCTTAGCATTTTGAAATGGAAGGTCTTCTGGCTTCAGTAGTAGCTCATGTGAAAAATTAAAAAAAAAAGTAACAGTTTAACAGGTTTCAATATGTCTGTAAAAATTGTAGGAAGTCACATTGTTTTCTGTGCAAACTGCTAGTTTATCTCAAAATGAACGGTCCGCTTAGTCAGTAAAAGTAGAATGTAACAGAAGATGAAGAGAGAATTGTGCAGGAGGCTATTTATTTGCTTGAAGGATGAGTCCTCATTGTTAGCCCTAGCCCTGCTTCTTGGTACTTGAATTGAATGGTTCATTAGGTAGCTGTTTGGTGCAATGGGGTAAAACATGATGAAGATTTTCATTTTTATCATGTCAATAGAGTTATCAAAGAAATAATGAAACATGTATTTTATTTCATCTACGAAATCTAAAAATTAGACATGTAATTTGTTCCGTGTAGGTTTTAGTTGAGACTTGAGACGCCACCAAAGTGATGTCATCCTATGTCACTATGGAGTGAATACCATTATACCAGAAACAGTGATCTCGGATGTCAGAATGAACATGTCGTGGCTTGTGGATGGTTATTGATTAATATTAAAAATTAAGTTAATTCTCAATAAATCTGAGCCTGCTTCTTCATTGGGAACTAATTAAATACTTTCATATTGGGGCAAAAAACATTGCATCAACTATGGTGTACTGTTTGCATGTTTGAATTCGTAGCCGCTTTAGATATCATTCTCCTGTTGACTAAGCATATTGTACATGTTTGATATGTTATCTACTTTCGTATCAAGACTTGGTATGAATGTGGCATGTGCTTATTAGTTTATACTCTTTCAGGGATCGTAGGTGTGTTCCTTGCATCTTTCTGATCATTGGTCCATGCATGATGTTTCTCTGTTGCTTTATTATAGTCAAAATCCCCAAAGAATAGTAAAATTTCATGACCCTAAAGTGACAGTAGTGTTTACTATTCATGTCTTTGTCAAAGAAGTAAAACTTCTTGTATTGCAGAAATCCTTCCAGGACCTTTTATGGAAGCAGGAAGGAGAACGATCAGCATGGGAATATCCATTTGCTGTTGCTGGTGTGAACATCACCTTTATGCTAATCCAAATGCTTGATCTTGAAGCAGGTTTTCATTTCTGTTACCATAACCTTTTATTATTATCATTGTTCATCAAATGCCTCTGGGCTTTTTAACACTTTCCTTTTTTGAACTATGATAATGTATAGTACTGCACCAAGCAGAACTCAAACAAAATGTGATCTTTGGCTTTCACCAGTGTTTAGAGTTTTATATGATGATATGAATGAAGATGCTTTTGCTGGTTTCCATTTTCGAGAAAACCAGACGTAACCTGTCATTTGTACCTGAAAGCTAAACTACTGCCTAATCCAGTCATAGACTATAAATGGTGCCGTTGAATTGGTCAAACTTGATCAAGAACTTATCAAAACCAGATCAAACTGGAGGATTAAGCATGTGTTCAACTACTAAGAATTGTAAATTTATTAGATTCGTTTTCACATATTTAGATTTAGATTTCATATTTTCTAGCTTATTAGAAATTTTTTTCAAAGGATAAACAAGCTTTATGATATAATATTATCTTGTGATGTTAGAGATGAAATGCTCACACACACACATATATAGGAAAATTAATCATTTTGTCTCCATATTTTTAACTTAGTTGTAATCCTTGCACTTTAAGTCGTTGTAACTCAGTCTTTATAGTTTTAATCATTTGAAAATTTAATCCTTGGGTTTTATGAAATATATAATTTTATTTTCTAAAATATAAGGGCCAATATTTTAAACTAGTTAAAGCTATATGGATTGAGTTGTACTGAGTTAAAGTTCAAGAATTGAGTTGGACTGAGTCAAAATTCAAAGATTGGGTTACAACCGAGTGAGAATTATAGAGACCAAAAGATTAATTTTTCCTATATTATAAATACTATATTCATAAAATTCATCAATTCCATCGTCCTGGTGGTGCCATATATAGTAGTTTAACGCTTTAGATCTGCTCATTGGAGAGATTTTTTTTTATTTTGTGGTGGATTGATATTGTTATTGGCAATTTGCATATAATAAATCTCTTGTGACGCAAGTCATTTGGGGCAATCCGAAGTAGCAAGACGGAGTGAGATATAGGTATCAGTAAAGTAAAAAAAAAAAAAAAAAAAAACAGAGAGAGAGTCTGGCTACACTTCTTTTTATGCAGGCTGATGTACAATTGATGTCTTTTCAAAGCGATGAGTTGAGTTGAATTTTGTTTCGTTCAAGAACTGAATTCAGTTTATGATATTAATTGTTAACAATATGCTTTGGCTATACAGTCAAGCCCCGGACAATGGTGGGAGCAACTTTCCTAAAACTTCTTGCAGGTAGCCTGTATTATGCGTATTTTTGTACTTCGATTTTTTCGTCCCTCTTCTATGATGGAAGAAAAGGGGTAGGATCTGAATTTGGTCATATTTGAATACTAACATCTAAACTGTAACACTTTATGGGACTTCCAAATATGCAATGTGTACAGCAATTAGCCAGAATAAGAAAAATATTTTTATGCGAACTTTTCTCTTCAAGGTCTGAAACTTTGTTTAATTATTACATCTAGTTAGCTGTTCAAAGTAACTACATTCTTTCATTATCGTCTGACAGAAAATGAATCAGCTTTTGATCTACTCTATTGCATAACTTTTAAGCTGATGGATCATCAATGGCTTACCATGCGAGCATCATACATGGATTTTAATGTAAGTGTTATCTGGTCTGAATGCTTCTGGTAGAAAGAGGAAAATCCAAAAGTCATGTGAATTTAAAATTTTGCGAAAATTGCATTCACTTTCCATGAGGTTCCAAAAACTTGCCATCGTGCTCTCTCTGGTTTCAACAATTTTTCACTAACCTCCTTTAAGTTTTTGAGCACTAACTTTTGGTTACTTGTGCTGCATTGATATGTGATTAGGCTATTGGGTTCTGAGTTTCTAAAAGCACATTTTTGTGTCAACGTAATGCATGGTTGGCTAGCAATTTTGGTGTTACTTAGGGAGAGAGTTAAGTATATATTGAAACTAGGAGGTGTGCACGTGTAGATTTTTGAGAACATCAAGGGAGATAAATGGTTAAAAGTGATTTTGAGGTCTGTATCGATAATGATGTGTGGGAAGAAAAACTAAATATCAACTTTGAAAAATACAGTGAGGCGTAAATCTTAACGCGGAGGGCAATAACTCTTGCAAATGAAGAGAGAAGATTTTTGTTAAGGCCATCATAATTTTAGGTTAACTTTTGTCGTCCTAAGGATCATGGAGAAATAACCATAGTGATTGTTTGAACCGAGGTTGATTTATAGAAACCCCCGATTTTTCTCCAGAGCAGTTGACATAGATTTTCATATTTTGATTCTTGGTGATTGGTGATGGTGACTACGGCTATTTTAATTTTTTTTATGTTGTGAACAGAGAGTGATGAAAGCGACGCGTCACCAGCTAGAGAAAGAACTTCTCCTTGAAGATATTACACGACTAGAAGATTTGCCTTCATACCAGCTTCTTACGAGATAGAGAGTGTACTAGGTTAGCTAACAGGTTTTTGTAATTGATCTTATATGCCATTTCTGCCAATTCAGGATGGAAACCTGTATTTCTGGGGCCATCTTAAGTGTGATGTCCTCAAGATTTTGGATGCAGCAGTAAAGATTTGTAATCCAGTTAGAGGCTTTGACTCCTCTAAGCACTTTCAAGAGCAAAGTGCAAGTGATTGTTGATGAGAAAATTGAGGTTGTTGGTCTCTGCAAATTCATATAGTTGATATTACTGAGTATTAATCTGAACCAAAGGGTTTGGCACGTTGGTTTGCTTCTTAAAAGAAAATGGAAATAATTATTGTTTGTTTATTTGCATAATTATTGGAGCTTATTTCTCCTTTATGATATGTTCTCAGATAATTTTCTTTGCTATGAAGTATAAACTGTTACAATGAACTTTGAAATTGGATTGGTAAATAACTTATTTGGAGCATGCATAATTAATTATGTATTATAATCCCCTATTTTGATGAAACAAAAATAAAAATTGCTTGAGTTTTATCTAAAATTATTGTTACTCAAGTCGGTTTAATTCAAAATATTAAATTTGAACAACTCCAATTGAAACAGAAACCAGATAATCGGCCTAAAAATAGGAATGTTAGATTCCTACTTATGATTGCAAAAATATTTGAAAAAGTCAATTTTCACTTTTGTAATTTTAGATGAAAGGGTGTCTCTGGTTTTTATGATTATGATCAAGAATCAAAAGTTAAACCAACAACACGAGCATTTATGAAAGGATTGCTTGTGGTCAGTTTCTATTCAATCTCTGGTTTTCATGAGCATTAATAATAGTCAAACCTCAAATTCAAGTCCACACGAGTAATAATGACGTTGAGAATAAGCCAACTCAACCCAAGAATAAATTTGATATGAACCTAGGTGCAATTCTATTATTTTAGCTTACGTACAAATAACAATACATTTAGATAGAAATTTTTTATTTGAGATTTACTAATTTCAAACTTCATTTCATGAAAAAGATTGAAATTATTAAATCAAAAATCAGGTTTGGAAACAATACATTAATAGGTTTTGATAACACTGAATTTATAAATAACAACATATTTTTTTTTTGTAGAAATTCATTATTTTTGATTTAGAAATTTCAAACTTTTTTATGGGATTCTCCCTATTTAAAATCTAGAAACATATAAAAATTGAAATTGAGAAAATAATGGAATATGATTAAAAATTAAAGGGGAAAATTCTAATAAAAATAATTGGTCTTATTATATTGCTAAGGCATTAATTATTATTTTGTGAAGAAGTACATAAATGAATGTAATATATATTTATTAATATTATGTTAAATTTAATAGGATTATTTGATGATAATTGATTTTAGAGAATTTGCTCAAAATGGATTAAAATTTAAGGACATAATCCCAATTCATATTTTAGAAAAAAAGAAAGAAAAAGAAGATTTAATGATAAGACTTGGTGACATTAAATAAAAGTATTTTAAATAATTTTTTTCAACTAAAGGATTATATATATAAATAAAGAGCAAGGAAAAAAAAAAAGGAAGCATCGGTTCAAAATGTGAATTGGTGAATGGCGAGAGCAATGGCCCGGGTTCCGCACTCTTCCGGCTTTTTTTACCAAAATACGACAAAACAGTAAAACTATATACTAAAATGCTACACTTTTAAAACTATTTACTAATATGTTGCACTTAAAATTGCTTTTGGGAAGAACGACTTTCAAATTATATACAAGTCATTCTTGGTGTGAACGATTTCACTTTTAAATTTTTTTTAAATCAAAAAGTGAAATCATTTCACTTTCTACCTTGCATGCAAAAATAAGAATCCCCGACGATGCTCTCGTGAGGCTACAACATATATAGTAAATATTACTTCATCTGACTTATATTGGATTAAAATTTAAAAACCCCAGTTTTTAAATTTTTTTCAAATAGAGCTTGATAAAATTTTCTATCATTTCATCTTCTTTTTATCTTTCTCAAACCAAACAGTACGTAACAAAAAAAGTTATGTTTTGATTGTAAATTTTTAATTGTAACAATTAAGTTGTAAGACTAAATTATTATTATTATTATTTTGGTCACATGCATAAAAAGCACATGCCCAATACTTGATTTTTTGTCAAACGGAACAAATGCCACACGACAGGCTTTTTTACCAAAATACTACAAGTAGTAAAATTATATATCAATATGTTACACTTTTAAGAGTATTTACTAATATGTTACACTTAAAATCGGTCTTCAAGTGAATAATTTTTAAAGTCATTTATCTAGTGAACAACTTCTTCATAATCTGTCCTCGATGTGCGTGAGGTGAATGAAAATCGTTCTTCTGGTGAACAACTTCAAAACTTCATCTGTTGTTGAATGACTTCTCCCCTTCTCTCCTGATTAAAATGATTAGTATAATGATTTATCAATCATTTGAATGACAAAATCATGACTAAATAATGAGAAAAAAAATGTTATAATGATGTTAAAACTAATTGTGAAATAAGTACAAGATGTATATTAATTAAAAATAAAAAGTAATAAATAAAGTTTAAGTTTATAAAGAAAAAATTCTCCACCTTACTGATAGTGACTTCCAGTACCACATCTTGGCCTTCTTCTCATACGTTGTGGGCGTTGTTGTTGCATGTCAATTTCTTGAGATTCAAATGTATCATTTGTTTGTATAGTTGGCGTGTTCAAATCAAACCAAGGTGATTCATTTAAATGTATAGATTGTCAAGGAGTGACAAATGCTTCATTTAATGGTCCACCATGTTCAAAAGTAGAAGCATTGTATTCAGCTGAAAATAATGTAGGATTATCTAATAAAGTCATGAATGGTTGAAATTGAGAAGAATTGGCTGAGTTGGAAGGGGATGATGATAAGGGTGCCATGTAATGAGACTCAAGTTGTGTAGGATCGACAGAGGTGAAGGGGTATGATGGTGACGGTGATATGCCAGAAGCTTGAGTAAAAATTGGAGGTTCCTGTTCCCTTACATTTTCATTTTCAATTATAGGTTGGGTAGACAAGTAACCACCGTGTCGCTTGCTCGGTCTATCATGAGGAATTTGTGGCCGAGGCAACTCAATTGTTGGTGGAGCGGGCTAAGGGTTCATATTAAAACATTATTCTCTAAGTGCAAGTAAAATGTTACGTTGGTCGTGAACAACCCTGTCTCGATAATCAACACAACTAGGGCATGTTGAACGAGAATTAATTGAAAGCCTGTATAGCTCCTCTACTATATCAGACTGAAAAAAATAATAAGATATAAGATAATAACACTTTTTGTATAAAAGAAAATGATATTAATCGTGAAAAGATGAAAAACTTACCGCACGACCTGTATCGCCATTGATATGTTGAATCCATCGTCTTGTATGTCTCCAATACCATTGCATGTACCGAGATGTTTGATCAAGTTCATCAAATGCCATAGGAGCATTAAAGCCATCTATCCCATGCTTGAATGAAGTCTGCGTATTTATCAATCCAATTTGTAGTTGTTTTACCTTGTAATTGGATCGTGTGGTAATTTCTCAAATAAACAGGCATGGAAGGAATTGGTCGCTGACAACCAAATTGCCGTAGTACACGGTTAGGATGATGCCATTCTATAATATTAAAACATATTAAAGGAACTGAAGCACGCCAAATTTCGGGTGTTGCCAAGCAATACTCACGAATCAATTGGTGCACATAAGGAGATTCATATGGCTGTCATATTATCTCATCACCGGTCATTTTATCTAGAAAGCTCCTATATCGGATTAAAGATGCAGCAAGTGGACGTGGGTTTTGTCTCACATTTTTTCATCTGTTATTACAAAAAAAGTAATGTTAAAAATTATATAATTTTAATAATATAAGAGCATAACAAATAGTTGGTGAATAAATTTAACATACCTAAAACCCAAAGAAGGTAAGAGAGGGTAGATATCAGATTATGGATCTGGATACCTAGGTTATTGTGGTGCTAGCATAGGAAAACGATCCCATGCCCATAAATGAAGTAATGATAAGCATCCTCCAATCCCATCGTCAGTTGGGTTAGTAGCATTACATAATTCTCTGTATAGGTGAGCTAAAACTACTGATCCCCAACTATATTTTTCAGCTTCTTATAAATCATAAAGTAGTGAAAGGTACATTAGATACACCCTACTACCTGATCTATCGGGCATGAGATATCTGCCAATCAACCTGAGGATATATGCAAGAGTGAATTGTTAAACTTGTACATCATCCGCATTATCAGGTAGGTGATTAAAGTTCTCTTCCAACCAACTTATAAGTAGTCACTGCCCACTTAGTCTATTTGCAGATGATGTAATACCTAGAGAACATTCACACATGTCTTGCCAATTAAAGTCAGTTCGGCCAATAACAGTCATTCCTTCACATGGAAGGCCCAATTGTTTAGCTACATTCTTTAATGTTATGATGTATTCTCCACATGTAGTGTGAAATGTATGAGTCTCAGGACGCTACCTCTCAACAAGTACTGAGACCAAACCTCGATCATAATCAAACTGTCCTACACAAGCAGCGCCATAAAATCCAACTAATATAAGATTCAATTATTTGATTAGGTGGGTCAATCATTTGATTAGCGTGCATGACTCGTCTAGTGTGTAGGACCCTGTTAACCTATAGTGGAAAAGGGAAAAAATATTATTATGGAAACATCAATGAAATAATATATAAGAAATAGATTTTACTTACATTATCATTCTACACATGTTTAGAAATATATTGGGTTTGCAAGTACAAAAGAAAGTTATCCTCTGGGCCAGGATTTATTGTTAGGATTATGGTTTTGATGATAACAAAGTTAGATTAAATTGGTTAAGTATGTTGATCGATCAAATGTTTATCGATAAGCTGTCAAATAATTATTCAGTATAAATCAGATTTATGTCAAGTATTTTAATGGATGAGATGTTCGATAATTCATTGATCGATAAAATGATCGATCATCGCTAACGTAAAAGTCATAGAAGGTAATTGTCAGTTATCGATAGTTTAATCGATAATCCCAGATGATCGAACAAGTGACAGATAAAAAGAAGTGAATCTGGACTGATCTTATCGATCAAGTGATCGATAAATAAGTTATTGATAACGACATCAATAAATGGTAAGACACTCTACCTGTTTTTAATAATGATTCTGGCATTGTTTATCGATCACATTATCGATCATTTTATTATCGATAATATGATCGAACATTGAGCTCTAACCTTCTTAAATGCAGGTACTGATTATAGACTATTGATCGATAACGTTATCAATCATCAAATTATCGATAAAAGAATCGATAAT